GAAAAGAGAAGTTAATTGAGAGTGGCTGGCGCCTGTGTTGTTACAGTCTGATGCCGTTTCATCCCAGGTATTGGCTGGGGTTAAGCTGGAGCCACTAGAGGTGGTGATGTCATATGGGCAGGAGGCACTGGTAGGGAGGGGTGGGGAGCTGATGAGGGGGCTACCAGTCAGTGCTGAGCACCCACCATTTTTTCCCTGTGGGTGCTCCAGTACCAGAGCATCCATGGAGTCAGTGCCTGTGATTTTGTCCACCAATTAGGCCTAATATTTGACAATTTTGGTTCATTAATTTCCAGACCCACATTTTCCTGTTTACCAGACATGATCTTAACACAGTCCTTGAGTTATATCCATAGACCTTTTTGTTTAGACTCATTCAGTCTGTCTCCCTTTCGTACCTTTTCCCATCAACATTTGGTATTATAGGTTACTGTGACACTTTATCAACTTTTCCATTCATTTTACAGATGAGTTCACAAGCAGGGTAAATTTGTCAGACCAATTATCACAACAGGTCCCTTCCCCTGCACCTGTTTCCCATCCTCCTACCCCCTCCCAAGCTGTTTCTCCCTTGGCCATGTTTTCTGGCTGCCACACTCCCTTCTCCTCTGCTCCCTTGGCCTTTCCTGTCCTGCTGAACCTGTTGTCTCTGATCTCACAAGTGGCTCCAGTTCTCAAAGGCAGCTCCACTTTCCTCTCCTGCCCCTCTTGTAGTAGTAACCCCTATATACCAGCTGCTAGGCTGATCACTCCTTCTTGTTCACATCTCCTGGAGTCAGGTGACTGCATAAGAACTTTGACTTGGCTTTTAAAAAGTAAGTTTCTCACTCTCCCAGTTGTGGAGAAAACCTGGAACATGTGACATAGGGTGACCAAATGTCCCGATTTTATAGGGACAGTCCCGATTTTTGGGTCTTTTTCTTATATAGGATCCTATTACCCCCCCCACCCCGTCCCGATTTTTCACACTTGCTGTCTGGTCACCCTAATGTGACACCCCCCCCGCCAAGGGCACTGAAAAAACAGAATCAGTGTAAGCAGGGTCTGAATGAGCTCTCCCCTGACATCTAGTGACACACTGGGGTAAAAGGCTTCAGGAACAGACCATATTTGCATAGACACGATATTCTGCCTACGTGCACAGCATGATGGAGCTGCTTTGCCAAAGTGATCATTTTTGATGGGTTGTCAAGGCTGTATCCCCACTTTGAACTTTAGGGTACAAGAGTGGGG